AACCTTGGATTTGTACGGCTTTTCTTAAAATATAAACAGTATTTTTACAAAAAATAATTAAAATTGAATAATATTAAGATAAATGGTCAAATCTTCTCGTAAAGTTTTGATAAGCACTTGAAATGCTATTAAAATGTCAAATTTTAGTACTGAATCCAAAAGAAAATGTCTCTTTTATCCATTAATAATAACTTAAATATGCTTTTTGTTAAGATGTATACCTGAAAATGTGTACATACATATTTGCGTTAAATGCAGTACACGTGCACGTGGAATCAATTCGTAGAAGTGTAAAATACGTAAACGTATGTACATAAACAATAAAACTTTCTCATGAATACCATAAAATCATTGGTCTTTAAGGGAATGTACTAAGAAAATATATGAGCGAATTAAAAAGTATATACAATTTATAGCCGAAAAGTACAGTTTTTGTATAGATTTCGTACTGAAGGAACAATTTCATTTCCCAACACTGATACAGAATATAAACAAACACAGGGTTGCAAGGAAAAAAAGTTGAACGAGCTCAAAGTTGGCTGGCGACCAGCTTTGTTGAAAGCGATTAGTTGAAAGACCGTTCGGACGAGGCGATTTTTGCTTTCAACTAAAAGTTCCCTGAAAATTCGCCTCCGTGTGATCCTCCGTGATAGCCAAGCTGGTTAAGCGTTGACCATAGCTGAAAATGCCAGCGACTTATCACTTCACTAAGTTCAGCGAAGAGATATTTGAGAATTTTATAAAAAATGCATACCCAATTAAGAACGAGCGAAATACTTGTAAATACAAGTGCGTGTGTTTGTTCGCTGCACTTGGTTTTGGGCGGGAGTGTAATACAAGTGCGTGTGTGTATTCGCTGCACTTGGTTTATGCGGGAATGCAATATAAATGCGTGTGGGTGTTTGCTGTTCTTTGTTTATGCGGGAAATGCATAAGTCGCTTAAACACAAACAAAAAACTGACGTAAGTCAAATTACAAAAACAATTCGGCAATGTGTTAGAGAGAAACAAATTCTGTGTGAAAAGCAGCTGAGTTTTGACATATCCTTACCGAAATTCAAATAAACGAAATTAAAATTTGCGTAAAACAGATTTATTATATTAAAAAATTAAATTAATGTGGCAAGACAATAACGTATTTAATTTAATTGTATTTCCGCAGCTGCAAAAGGCGGTGGAGGTGTCTTGCCGTTGGTTGGCCCCAATCTACGCGATCTGCGTTAGATACGGGTACATCTCAGGGGTTGGAGGGTCGTCAAGGTGGTGTTCATCCCGAAGCCGGATGGAGCTCTCATGTTACCCCCACGGACTTCAGGCCAATCAGTCTCGCATCCTTTCTGCTGAAGGCCTTGGAGAGGTTGGTTGACATGCACATAAGGAGTACGATTCCTCGTGATCGCCTATCTAGAGCTCAGCATGCTTATTGTAAAGGAAGGTCGGTAGATACTGCTTCGCATACAATTGTGAGGTGGATAGAGGAAGCCTTCACTCACAAGGACTTTGCCGTAGGAGCCTTCCTAGATATCGAGGGGCTTTTAATAATGTCCTGCCGGACGCAATAGTTAAGTCGCTAGATAAGCTTGGGGTTGAGGTCAGTCTCATTAGGCTTATAGAAAACTTGCTGCGTGACAGAACTATCATGGCCGTCTGGGGCAACGCCTGCTTGTCTCGCATGGTGAGCAGGGGACCCCCCTGGGAGGTGTTCTCTCACCCCTACTCTGGGTCGTCGTGGTGAACGAGCTACTAGTGGAGCTGGAGAAACGCGGCTGCCAGGTAATTGGCTATGCAGACGATGTTGCACTCCTAGTTAAAGGTAAATACCTGAACACGCTGTATGAACTGACCCAACGGTACCTTTAGATAGTTACTAACTGGGCGGCCAAAAGTGGCCTCGCCGTCAACCCTAATAAGACAGAACTGGTCTTATTCACAAGAAAATATAAAATCCCCGCCGCTGCTCTTCCCTCGGTTGGAGGTCTGCGCTTACAGCTGTCTGACAGGGTCAAGTACTTGGACTTTATCCTAGATAAGAAATTGTCGTGGGGGCCAAACATCGAGGAAAGGGCAAGGAAGGCATTAGTGGCCTTGTATTGCAGTAGGGGAGCTATTGGCAAGAGATGGGGTTTCTCACCCAAAGTTGTCTATTGGCTCTACGAGACCGTAGTCAAGCCAATTATGTTTTATGGCGCCCTTGTCTGGTCGAACTCACTGGAAAAGGCTACACTAGCTAGGCAGATAGCTGGCCTGGGAAGGAACCCGTGGAACGTTATCAGCGGATAAAGAGCGACTGGGGGTGCCATTGATCACTTGCGGTACACTCTTAGATATATGGGCCTCATGTCAGCTCAGCGAGCGCTGGGTGAAAACCACGACATGCGCGATCGCAAGGTCGTTTTGGCCGAGGGCAGTAGAGGGCACTCCTCACAATCACAAAGCCACAGCTCTCACATCTGGTGGGGGTTTTAACAAGTCGCTGTCCTATCGGTATTCACGCAGTAAGGCTGAACATTCAACCGGACCCCTTATGCCGCAGTTGTCTGGATGAGGACGAGGTGGAATCACCTCAACACTACATTCTTACAAGAATGATAGAATACAAGATTGCGCCGTCCCGGGCGTTGACATTTGTGTACCACAAGTAAACAAAGAATGGAGCGAAAAGAAGAACGAGTTGAAACTGCCAAAGCAGTTCACTTTACAGCGAAAAACGTGTTTTAATTTTGCTAAATGTGAAAATATTGCATTTTTCACCTAATCTATTAGAGAACAGTGAACATTTTAGTGCACTCCATTGCTTTGCAATTACAGAAACCTGCAGCAGCATCTCTGCGGGATTGATTAGCTAACTTGCTAATGGAGGCTGCTTGGAGCAGAAACAAAATTATTGTGAGGAAATGCTGTTAATATAATAATAGAGAAACATTTCGGGAACGGCTTTGCCGTGCCCTATGTACACAAAATGCACCGATTCGTCCCAGCGCTACACTTGCATCTACGCTTCTTGCATCTTGACACAATTTAATCTGATTTTTCACTTATAATTAAAATTTCTCTTTCGCAGATTTGTAAACAAAGGTTTATTTACAAGTTACCACAACTGTCAAAATCGGCAAAACCAAAGTAGCGGTACCACAGACGGCACCACCATTGTTCGCTGCATCGTGACCTTTTCAGGTTCCCAGCAGTGTTGCCAGAGGAAATTTCGTTTGGAGCTAAAACGGTCGATAAAAAGAGCTAAATAATACTAATAGTAGCTAAAATGAAGGGCTCCATATTTATTTTTAGGTTGAGCATTTATTGACGTAGGTTTTTTTCGGCAATTCTAATAAAAACAACGAATTTTATAAGTTTAAGCGCTGAAAAAATCTTTTGAAACCATAATAAGGTGCATATATTTCGAATTCGTTGCTATGGCACTTATAACAGTGAACTAAAAATACTTTACAAACTGTTTAAGTCTGTAATTTCAGATATTTGAATTTAGTATTTTTTCGCAAAATTTGTCTGGAATGTTTTGCTTCCAGCTCTCCTTAAAGGTAAAATTAGTAAGGTAAACAAAATCCGCGTTATCAGAAAAAGAATTTTATTCTAATTAACTTTTGAATTCTTTAACCTAACGTTTTAGTTTTGGCTTATATATACCAAATACAACTGAAACTTTCTGGAGCTAAAAAAATGCTAGATAAATTTGAAAAGGGCAAAAAAAAGAGTTAGGAGCTAAAACCCAATTTTCGGAGCTTAATAGAAAAATAAAGAGCTAAATCTAGCTCCAAAAGCACAAAATGGCAACACTGGTGCCTAGCGTTTGCGAGGCTTAAGCCTGATATACAGTTCAATGCGAGCGTGAGCGTGACCTTTTTATTTTGACCAATATCTTAGTTATTACTCAAATTTTTGCTATAGTTGAGACACGAAAAGATAGAGAATTAAAATATCTTTCAGAATTACAGATTAAAAACCAATTTAAAATGCATAATATGCCTTTTTTTCGAGCTCATACTCAACTTTGTGCGTACGCTAAGCATTCCCATGTGAACGGCAAGTTTTGACAGATGTGTGTGAGCGTCCATAAGAATACAAATGGAATTCTTTGCCTTTGCGAACGTTCACGCTCACGCTCGCATTGAACTGTATATCAAACTTAAGGTTGAAGTACTTTGCCTCTCACTTTCTCTCGAGGAGCTCTGATTGAGATCAGCCGTATTCGTAAATACATAATCGGCTCGGACCGTTTTAACGATAAAGTTTAGGAGACCGTTCCATATTGTGGTATCACAAAGGACAATCTTACATTGTCTAAGTGAACTACGGTTACGCGGGGCTGTCACCTTACATAACCTAACCTAACAATATCAGTTAAATGCAAGCACGGTTAAATGCCAAATTGGGATATAAATATAAGGATTTTCCATCAATTCTAGTTTAGAAATAAAATAGACTGATGCTTTGCCGTGGGGTTTGTTTACTGCAAAAAACTCACAATAAATCTGTGCAAGTACAGATAATTCGACAAGCATAAAAAAACGAAGTCTCAACGTTGAAAAAAATTTAAGTTTACTGAAGTTGTATTGAAACTGCCTGTTTTGCCGATTTAAAATTTAAAGTTATAAAAATTGTATTTCTTATCCTATCCAGTAACAACGTGTAATTTCACCTCGAGATCGGTAATTGGTACAAAGTTTGAATGTGAAAACAGCTGATTCGAATATCGGTTTTGCTGATGCTCGGAAACTCTAAATCCGATAGAATTTCGCTACACCAAATAAAACAAGTATCGGCTTCCTTTCCAATAAAAATCAATTCTGAGTCGGATTCTGCGACATAGCCGTATATTTCTTGACCG